CAGTGTATATATTATAAAAAAGTGTATAATTATAATCACGAGACCTGGTGAGAAAATGCAATACTGTAGGTAACCCTTCACCAAACATAATTGTGAGTTCAGGAAATCACATCTGCAGTTGGCCTAGTGGGCAGCCGAGAGGTGAACTTGTGCTATTGTATACTAAAAAATGGAGAAAGTAAGACCATTAGAGAAACAGAGAAAATATCAAAAAGGTCTTCTTAGGACAGTGTAAGAGAGGAAGGTAATCCTTTTTCACAAAAGAAACTTAAGAACAACAGGTCAAAAATGCAAACTCACTGGCAGGTGTGTGTGTGTGTGTGTGTGTGTGTGTGTGTTTGTTTAGGGTAAGATGGGTGCTTTTCTGTGGGTGTTTCTGCCCTGGTTATTTTAACCATTTAGACCTCTGAGGCTGCTTTTTTCACATTATTCTTTGTTTCTTCTTTTACTTTCATGTTCAAAGCTAGAGTAACGGGGAGACTGCCAATAAAAAGCCATCACACGTACACAGATACACACCTCACGGATACCCTTCTTTCTGCTTTCCATGCAAACACTCTTTTTCCCTCTTTCTTTTGTATTCATCCACACATACACACACACACAAACACATCGGGCTCACTGACAGGTCATTTAACCACAATCTAACATAGCTGAGTGGAGAGAAAAGATGCTAAATATAGAGGCAATGTGAGCAGAATTCCAATGACTTTCAGGATCATGACACAGACGAGCAATATGATGGTTCACATGAAGCAATGAGGCAGTGTTTTTCAAAATAAGGTTCTGTAGGTGGTTAATAGGAGGCTAGGAACAGGCTCAAAAGTGTAGCTTTTTGAAGAACTTAATATAATTGGGATTTTGCTTTAACAAAATTTTGCAAAAGTATTGCAGAAGAAGTGATGTTAATTACTAAATGTGAATGCTTATGTTAAAACTATATTAAAGACATAATTGAATAACAATTGAGAATTTTTTTTTTTTACTGTAAGTGTCTATGAAGGTTCTCAGTCATCCAGGTCGTAGTTAGGACCTACGTTCCAAGCAAGCTGAGGGATACTAAAACGTAACGTGAAAACACAACAGACTGCTGATTGGTCAGAGAATATTCACTATTCACTGCATCATCATTATGTGCACCAGACAGAGGCCAGCAACAGAAAGTTTTATATTTTACAGTTTTCAGATGGAATTTCATCACTAAATCCACTTCTGAGAAGTTTTGAGGTGAAAAATCAGCTGTGTAGATTTCGAATATTGACAGTTTTACGAGAAGTGATGGCGGAACAAAAATGTGCTTGAATATTTTCGGGGTTGAGGAGCTCCGCAAGTGGCTGCGGGGGAAGCCTGTGCCAAGGAGGAGCGTGTGAGGCCGGTCAGGTGCCCGCTCACAGAGCCCTCTGCTCCCGCCATCACACAGACCGCTGCAGCAACAACGGCAGAGGAAAACACAGCTGGAAGGTTTTCATACCGCTTATCTGTCTTTACATTCTGAGTAATGTTGAAACGTTTTAACTTAAAAAAGAGAAAGCTGTGTGGATCTCTGGTGTCTGTGTCGAATTGAACATTACGTCGCGGCAGTTGTGTGTGGTGTCGCTATGACAACAAGCTACGTACTATCTCTGGGTACTATCTGCAACGGAAAACGGAGCAGGGCCAAGCAGAGTCTATCGATTTGCGCTATGGTAGCATTTTTCAGCAAGGCAGCATAGATCGTCAGAACACCGGCAACAGTTCAATGTTTAGTCCTGATGGTAAGATGTGGAACAATGATGTTGTGGACTTGATAGTAACTTATACCATCTGCTAGGTTACGGTCGCAGTCTGAAGCGGCTTTGATTTGGATCACACTACCTTGTTTCTTACGACCCGCTCTTCTCTGCTTCTGATTGGCTAGTAGTCCTTACCTGGGAACTGTGCATGTGCAACTCCCAACAAAGATTTTGTACAAGTAAGATGCATCACTCTGTAGCTCAAGAGCGGAGCGTACAACACACAGGGTGAAAAGAGAGAAAAATATGGTGTTTTTTGAAAATTAAACCATGTAAACCTGTTCTGGTACAACACCTAATTAAGATTTTGAACCTGAAAATTAACATAATACCACCTCACAAACGTTACCTCTTGGCCTCAGGTGAAGATGCCAACGATGGTCGTTCAGACTTGGCTGCGGGTGGTTCTGACGACCATAACGACTGTCATTACAACAGCCAGGAGCACTAACAAACCCTTGATAGGTTATTTAATCTGAATGGACTGCATGGATTTCATACAGAATTCTGATCTTGGGCTTATATATGTGTATTTATGTTGGACTAAGAAATACAACGTTGTGTGAACAATTCATATATAAGGGATAAGATAAGATACTACAGATCTTTGAGATTCCGGAGTGGTTGATGCAGAGTAACTGAAATGAACATGGGCTATGTGTAAGGAGGGGCGATGCACTCTTGATCAAAAGCGAAAGGAGGAGGCAAATTAAATAACTGAAGAGCATAATTTAGCAATTCAAATGGCATAAAATGTTCCCTCCATTAATTATGCTGAGAAGATTAATTAAGTAATTCCAGGTTGAAAATTAGAAATATAAGTAAAAACAATTTATTAATATTAAACATATTTTTTGTTCCTCCCTTAAGACCAGGCTTAATAGATTGTTCAATTACAGATGGGATTTTGTTGCTTATTAAAAAATTGCATAAAGTGTTTGAAGATGGGACTCTGGCGGTTCATAAAAGCCACTCTACGAAAGTTTACTATAATTTTAAGCACCTCACTGAAGCCAGCAGCTTGTGCCACAAGGGACTTAAACATAGCTGCAGCAACAGCATATCATACCACAGAGTATCCTCTTGTGTATTAATGTTTTGATAGTAGGTCACAGAACAAAGCATTGAGCTAAAAAGCCCTCATAAATAGAAGGAAACACAATTAAAGGAAAATATTATTAACACGGTGCTGTCACTGCAAGAAAGGATGTGTGCGTGTGTGTGTGTGCATGTGTGTGTTTTACTTTGAAAGGAAACAGGGGGTGCCTCTCATGAAGATAATTAATACTTTTAATGTCAAAATAAGCCTGTGTGTGTCTACAGCACTGATGTGTGCACATTGCTACCGCCAACCTGAACAAGCATGCAGAAAGATCTGCCATACTAGTGCTGCTGTCACTACTCATTTAGAAGAGTTGTCAGGATGTGTATGAGGAGAAATATGTATCATCGTTATTGTTGTTATTTATAGCTTTTGGTAATCTGTGTACATTCACCTATGTGCAGAATGCCATGTTGAGGGTCTACAAAATTATCAGCTGTCCCACTGTTTGTGTCACATTGCTGTTTCATGTCTTAGTGATGAGAAGCCTTTGGGCAGTGAGTAATGATTTTCTAATAACCTGCAGCTTGTTAGCTCAGCTGGCTGGAAAACTGACTGCCAAAGTGTCTGCATCATGTTTGATGTGTGTCTGTGTGTGTCTTTGCATACCCTTTACTAAAACACAAAAGTACAGACTGTCAGTTTCAATTTGATGGCTCTTTGATCCACATTGGATGAATTGTTAAAAAACTGACATCATTTTTGCATCAGCGCCCACATTTTGAGGTGCCAAAAGTATTTTCAGTCGAGGCAATGAAAATTTATATTATATTCTGACTTCTAGGTTTCTGCTTGCCATGAACATAACTAGGGTCTTGAAATCTTATTTTTAGAGAGTTTTTAGAATAGATTCCTTTTGAGATAACACAAAAACACAGGATAACAATGACAGGTCCGGCATATTTCAGCTGTTGTATGAAACAACAGAATATAGTGTGTGTTACTGTTAATGACAGTATGAGTATCTTAATGGGTTTAGACACTGTGAGGAATTGAATTGTGGGAAGGTTGAAAGTGGCGGATCCCCACATTAGAGGAGAGTAGGTTTAGATCTTAAGCATCACACTTGGGTTTTTTCTCATTTGTGCATTTGTGACACAGCCTACAGATGAACTACTTTTTGTATTTAGTATTTATGCAGAGAGTCTAACTATTTTGGCAGGAAGGCTTAGACATAGGTTGAATGGATAGCCTCAGTTTATAGCATAAACAAAATACAAATATAGTGCAGAACCAACAGCAGTGCTATAGAGCTGTGGTGCACTGATAACATTTTCCTGAAAAAGAAACAACTCCTCAATTTATTGACCCAAAGAGATGGAAAAATCGGCCGGCTGTTCATGGGCAGTCCACCACTTTAAGATTCTCCAGAACTATTGGATAGATTGCCATGAAACTTTGTACATTTACGGTCCCAAGAGGATGAAATCTGCTTACTTTGACGATCCCCCTGATTTTTCCTCTAGCAAAATTTGTGATTTTGAGTGAAATATCTCAACAACTGTTGGTTGGATGGCCATGAAATTAGGTAGACATATTCATGCCCCTGTCATGAATTGATCCCCTGGCTTTTTATCTAGCACCATCATCAGGTCATAATAGCAAATGTTAGCTTGCACGAAACTAAGAAGGTTATAAGGTCAATATTATACCTGCTCACTTTGGGGACTAACTAGTTACACATAATTTAGTTATGTAATTTAATAACAAAATAAATGTTTGTGAAATAAAAGTTAATAAAAGTTACAAACATACTACATTAAAAAAATAACCTTCCCAACACCGTACCTGCTAAACATCAGCCTATTAGGATTGTTATTTTGCATTGTTACATGTTAGCATGCTGCTGTTAGCGTTATGCTCGAAGCACTGCTGTACAGCCTCACAGAGCCATTAGCGTGGCTGTAGACTCTACAGTAGAGTCTTGTCAACCCCAAATGTCTCACTGTTCACTTAATGCACTACGGCTTAATGATACCATTACTGAAACAGTTCATATTTTTAAATGCAGTGTGGTAACAACATACAAAGAATTGGATGTGCAGGCTTCATATGGTCAATATAGGGTCACCCCTATAAACAGTCATGGACTAACCCTTTTCTTTTTTATCTGTTATCTTTCTCAGGTCCTTGGATCCATCTCCCTGGGCCATCTCTAGCTTTTCCATCCATCTGCTAGTTGCCGCACTGTATCTTCATGTTGAGTCTTAATAAATCACAGCACATCAGATAGAGGTAGGTAAGGATTCATATACATCTTAACTGGTATGTTTTACCGTATATGAACTTAAAAATGTGCTTATTGAGGGACGCAAAATTAACTCTGCTGGGAACTCTGTAGTAGAAGTAGCTTGCGCTGTTGTTTCTCCTTAATTACATCTGGAACATGCTATAAACAGTTATTGCCAATTAGTTTAATAAAAATTTAATGATGTCCTTTGGGAAATTACATAACTATAGGATATTACAATATGTTTTCATTTATATGATTAAAATGCACTCACAAACTGACTAGACAGATGTGTTAAATTGCAGGGGAGATGCATATACATGCACGTGTGTGTGTGTGTGTGTGTGTGTGACAGAGACAGTGAGAATCTGCCCCCCAACTCAAACCATAATAATGTGAGGTTTAATGCACTTAATCACATGAGTGTCAATGTGTTCTCATGTCTATGTGTTGTGTGTGTGTGTGTGTGTGTGTGTGTGTATGTGCGTGCTGTCTCTCTGTGACTGTGTGTGTGCCTGATGAGAGCAGTGCTGCAGTCCAATGTGCTCTGCCTCTGTTACAGACATATTAGCAAAGCTGTAAAAGCACACAGGCCAGACAGGTCTGCAGGTTGGTTGCTACGCAGAGCTACTACAGATGTACTGATATTAATACTGGATAGATGGAGGATAGATGGATGGATGGAAATCAAAGAGGGATAAGCTGTTATTGTACGGCTCTCACATATCGTCAGTTGTCACACTTGCCTGCTGTTGTCTGAATTGAAATTACATTTTAAAATTTTATAACAGTCTCTTGGTAGGGTGCTCATACTTACTGTAGAAGTGAGACCTCAGTATTGCCTAAAGCAATATTGAGCTATTAAGCTTTCATTTTGTTTAGTAGTTATAGGGATGCATAGAAAAGAAAACCTCAGCACACTAGTAATCCAGCTTGATCCTTATCCATATTTTTGTCATTTAAAATACGCAAATAATACAGAAAGTTGCCATTTAAAATGACACATTTGAGGACAGCACATGTTGCTGTCTTCCAGATATACACTGAACTAAATTATAAATGCAACACTTTTTGCCCCCATTCATCATGAGCTCAACCCAAAGATCTAAGACTTTCTCTATGTACAGAAAAGGCCTTTTTCTCTCAAATATTGTTCACAAATCTGTCAAAATCTGTGTTAGTGAGCACTTCTCCTTTGCCGAGATAATCCATCCACCTCACAGGTGTGGCATATCAAGATGCTGATCAGACAGCATGGGTATTGCACAGGTGTGCCTTAGGCTGGCCACCATAAAAGGCCATTCAAAATTTGCAGTATCACGGGGGGGAATCCAGAAACCAGTCAGTATCTGGTCTGATCACCATTTGCCTCACGCAGTGCAACACATCCCCTTCACATAGAGTTGATCAGGTTGTTGATTGTGGCCTGTGGAATGTTGGTCCACTCCTCTTTAATGGCTTTCAGTGGCTATGCGAAGTTGCAGTCAGGCCGAGACCCCGATGAGGACTCCGAGCATGCAGCATGAGCTTCCCTGATACGGTTCCTGACAGTTTGTGCAGAAATTCTTTGGTTAGGCAAACCGATTGTTGCAGCAGCTGTCTGGGTGGCTGGTCTAAGACGATCTTGGAGGTAAAGATGCTGGATGTGGAGGTCCTGGGCTGGTGTGGTTACACATGGTCTGCGGTTGTGAGGCCAGTTGGATGTACTGCCAAATTCTCTGAAACGCCTTTTTAGACGGCTTATGGTAGAGAAATGAACGTTCAATTCACGGGCAACAGCTCTGGTGGACATTCCTGCAGTCAGCATGCCAATTGCACGCTCCCTCAAAACTTGCGACACCTCTATGAACAGTACAGTTAACAGTGATTTTTGATTCAAAGGCTGAGCTATTGTTTCAGAGATCTTATCTGGTATATAAAATGTTAAGTTATCAGCTGTTTGGGAGTAAAGTGCAGCAATTTGATGTCAGAAGTATTCGTCCAGGTCAGGCCATATTTAAACCTTTCTAAACCAGCTGGGATTTCGGCAGTGAGTCCGTCAAAGTAAAGTGGAGCTTAACTCTGTAGACCACTGGGGACTAAGGCCAAAAACAACAAAATACTCAAGATATTGAGGGCAACGTGAACTACAATCAATGGGAAAACCTACAAAGACAAATCATAGACGTACAATGATTAACTGTACATGTATTCCTTAGCATGTACTCCTTAGCATGTACTCCTCCTACTCGGTTTGGTTTGTTATCAATATTGATAACAAACCAAACCGATAAGGAGTATTAATAAGGTTCTTTTTCGTAACTAAATAAATGCCTTTTAAAAAATATAAAATAAAATAATAAATTCAGAACAGCATTAGAATTGAATATTTTATTATAACTAAATGATTCCAGAGCAGCAACAGTAATGTTTACAACAGCAAAATGACTATATAAACTCAGTATCTCCCTGGAAACAAATCTAACTTATGAGTAAAGTAAATCATATTTTGACATCAAGTTTAGAAACAATGGAGAACCCAATCTTTCCTCCTATGCTGGGCCACACTGCGGTTGCTTCTGGGTCAGATGTGGCAATTGAATGGGCTTGCTGCAGGGTATACAGTATGTGTATAATCGGTAAAACATTGAGAAATCCTCAATCCCAGATGCTCTCTTACCCCTTCCTTTTTGGCAGGTGACTTTTTTTTGAGGAGCACAGAAAGTTAGGAGCTTTTTTATTGGGCTTTCTTTCTGTTGGAAGTGTTGCTACCCAACGAGCAGTCATGAAGTCAGGCAACCAGTTAAAGCAATAACACTGTTTTTAGACCACATGTCACTGCATGGAACAAAGTAAGGTGTTGCAGTTATACGTATACAGTTAAACAATCATATTTAAAAGAAAAAGGACAAAGCTATTCCAAGGAAATTTAGTTATCTGACCTTTAACTTTTAACAAAGGGCAAGTGCTGCTTTACAGTATTCTCCACCTTGCCATACATGGTCAGCTAACTGTGATTTTGTACCATGAATAAGAACTGTTTATTCACTAGAGGAGTCAGCAACTTCCTTGTTAATAGAAATTTGTGTGAATGCAGCACACTCATAATGGTCCTTTGGGTCATAACCGTTAACATTGTTTGACGTGGAAGCCAGTAAAGACCCACAGGATACAAATTCAAATATGTTTCATTGTCCAATTGCTCGTGTTCCAGTGCTACAGTAACTCTATATTACACTGTACAAAATACCGTTTTGTGGATATGGCTGTTTTGTTGCTGCACTGAGGACGAGCTGTGTGTATGCCGAACTACAATAGAGTCAGAAGAGGTCCTATGATGTGTATGTGTGCTACAAAAGCTCTCTCCTGCCAACCCATTACTGCATGTTAACACTGGCTTACACACCATTTTAGAAGTGGTTTGAGAAATGATTTAATTTAAAAGGCTGTCGAACAATTTGTACCACTACCCTGTTTTCTTCTTGCTGGCGGCCTTCCCTGCCCTCCTCACGCTGTTTTAGTTTCTGCCAACACCCAGGAGAAACATCTGCCATGAGCAGGCTATTAGAGTGAACTAAACGGCTAAAACATCCAAGACATTTTGGATTTTAGTATGTTTGTTTTAATCCAGCAGTATGGTAAAAATAGCCACTATACAACACTGATGGGCACAACTTCAGATGAGGCATTTCTGGCATTAGAATAACTTATTCAAGAGTTTACAATGAGACATCGAGTCGGACAACTTCTTATCTGCCTAATAGTTTCTCAGATTAAGCAAGATTTCTCCTTTGAACTGTGAGATCTGTTACAATACAGTCTATTTTTATTTCTTTATCGCCTTGTGAAATCTTCATAGATTACACATCTGAATCGAATAAAGTGTGCAGTGTGGTATCAGAGACATTTCTGCTTATCTGAGATTACTTATCTCAGAAATTGAAGGGGATTGATGTGAGAGAATCGGATATTTGAAGTTTCCATCTCTAGAGCTAAAGATGCACAAGTTCACAAAGCCTAGGGAAATGCTGGAATAGGTCACACGGATCCCTCCGTGTGTGTAAGTGTGTGTTTGTGTGGGCAGATGGTTGTGTGAAGCTAGCTCAGTTTATAGCACCTTTTTTTAATTCAGGGTTAGAAAAGTAAAGTTACTGCTAAAACTGCTGATTCATTGCTATCTAATTTGGGATCCTGTACACTTGCCTCTAATTAACAAGGTGGCAGGAAGTGTGGGTACAGCAGTCTGTTGTATTTTCTGTTTTTTGTTCACACACGTACAGATACCTACACAATGTATTTCTGGGATAAGTGGTCGAATAGCATGCTCATCTCAAATGTGTCAAGAGAGCTCAGTTTTTCAACCCCACTGACCTGTCCTTCTAAAACTCTATACACCCAAACATATGAGGAGCAACATAGTATGCATAGTCCTATTCAGCAAAACTGCAACTGAACACAATTACTGCAGCTTAGGTCTGTTAATTGTCTTCTTCAATTGGAAGAGCTTGGTAGTCTTGTGAGGAGCATGTAACTTCACAGTCTTCAAAAACAAGAAGTAAACTAAGCGTGGAGTAAAACTTCTGTAACTCTGTAGATGTAAACTGGAAATATGAAGTTCACAGCCAGTGCACATTACGGTAACATGCCAAGTGTGGTGCCTTTTCCTGTTCACAGACCTGTAATCTTGCTTGTGAAAACATTCCAGCTTTGGTTTAGTTTCAGTTTGGAGTATGCAGCTGGTCTTACAGTGTTGTCCATTCATGTGACTCTGATGACTCTTACATCACCACTTTGTGACGTAAAATTACACACACAGGTCAAATGTTATAAACACCGCACCAGTCAGTAGAACTGATGAAAACTCTTGCATCCATTTACATGTTAAAAACTGCAAGATAGTTGCTGTAAGGTTGGAGTTAATGCCACTAGACACACACACACACACACACACACACACACACACACACACACACACTGCAACTAATTTATTTATGTGCCTTGTTTTAGATGTACCATGTTTGTAGTA